AATAATACCAAACGAGTAAATGCACGCTCTGCGACGACCACGACGATGAAGACTGCGTCTGAAAAGTAGGCCAGCGGAAGTAGATATGCACAGGTTGCACGATATATTGTACATGATGGCACAGGTACTAGCTAAAAGCCCAGGCATGTGTTTTCGTCGATATTCTGCCTACGGATACGAGGGCTCAGGTGCATTGGTGTCTCCCCCCCCCTACCCAGCGTTCCCTGTGTGCTTTCTGATAGATACTCAAGTTTTCAATCTTCGGTTTTCCAATTCACTCGGAAACGTATCGCTTACGTGGAGTATATCAGTCTACCTGAGACCTTTAGCTTCGGACTGAAATTTGGTATGATTATTTGGGCCGAAGTCCATCTATAACTCTTTACTCTAAGTTAGCGATTGGCTTTTGAGGTAATTTTAAAGCTGCACCTGTGCTGTCAGTTCTAGTGTCGCGCAACCTGTGTATATACTACCGGCCGCTTGTTAGTAGTTTATCAATACTACACGGTTATTCCGCCGTGGCTGATAAACTTCGGCCCAGATATCTATATCGCATTTCAGTCTGAGTTTCTAACTCTCAAAAAGGGACGGCATATGCTAGCAGTCGGGTGCATGGTTGACGCACGAATAATTACTCGCTATTTCACTAAAGTGAAAGATAGTGCATCAAAGGCCGTTGTCCCGATGTCTGACCTAGAGACAGCACTCCCTGGTAAAAACAGCTACTCTTGATGATACAACCATTTGCCGCTGTCTTTCTTTAATTGAAAACTGTTTTTGCGTATTTATGCGACTGTAGGTATGATGTGCAAAATGAGCGTGAGTGGAGAATGTAACATGAAACAAACTCGGCTAGCATACCGGGTTCAGGGGAGGGTTATGGGTTCAATTTAATTCTGTGTATATACTAGCGGGCGCTTGTCAGACGTTTATGAATTCTAGCGGTTATTCGGCCCAGATATTCATATCGCATTCAGTCTACGTTTAAATGTCTCAAAAAGGGATAGTATATGTTTGCAGAAGGGTTCATGGTTGACTCACGAATAATTACTCGCTACTTCAGTGGTAAGGGCGCTCAGCGATCGTTCTTACGGAACTAATTCGTTCCGTTCTGTCTTACAAGCTCTCTCTCGAACCCAACCAGCAGCGCAGTGGTTAGAGGCGTCGACTTCTAACTAACAGGTCGCAAGTTCGAGCCTCGGGTGTTCCACAATTCGAGGTTGAGTATGTTTGGCTGACGACGGCTAATAAGCCAGAGATGGCCATTCCAGTCTCTCTTGTCTATTTCACTAATGTGGAAGTTAGTACATCGAATGTCGGTGTCCCAAGTTCTGATGTCGAGACAGTACTCTCTGGTACAAGCAGCTACTCTCGATGGTACAACCATTCTTTAATTGAAAACTGTGTTTTCATATTTATACGGCTGTAGGTATGATGTGTAAATTGAGCATGAATGGAGAATGTAACATGAAAAAAACTCGGTTGGCATACCGGGTCAGGGGAGGGTTATGGGTTCAATTTAATTTTCATATTAGACCCATAGGCAAATTAAGTTACAAAGACCGTTCTCCGCTCAAAAGTTCCTGGGTACGTGTTCTGTAGATAAAGGGAGCAGATGTCTGACCACTAGGGTACAAAATTAAACCGTTTGCACTAATGCACTTCTACTAACTTTAATCATAAGAAATCGGGCAAATAGTGATAAGCGGGTAGTATTTATGGGGAATTTAAGCCGAGTGGTATTCGACGTTGCCTTCGCAAGGTTACGTACCCGGGAGGAGGCTCAACTTGTCGGTTTGCCGAGCTCTGGTCAGGGTTCCGGGCCCTTCTTGGTAACCGATAGGAGCGCGTAACTTCCGTCAAAACAGAGGACGTGAAACCCAGAAGGGATATTGGATTATCGTTTGATACCATATAATGACGTTCGCGAAGCCATGATCCCAGTTTGCATTTACCCCTGCCTATTTAACAGCCAGTGCGATTAAGGCAAGGTATCCTTTAAACAAGACAAGACTGCTTACCAGCGTTCCGTAGGATTTTGACGTGTGTGAATCATTTGCACTCGGAAACGTCGGATCAACAAGAAACAAGAACAGTTCGTCCGCGGAAAACGTGTACCATTAGCTTGGAAACATGCTCAATGGCTCACTGACAATACAGTTCCAACTGCGTCATCTTAATAACCATTCTGCGCAGTCGCGTATGAAGTTTACATTGCTATCCATTCCTCTTTGTAATAATAGTAAATGGAACGCTACGACATAGAGATAAGTTTGACAACATGTTTCTCTGTTTAGAAACGCCTTTTATCGTAAGAAATTGTCAAGGTCCACGTTCGGGGCATCGTAGTTGGAGTGGTTAGAGAGTTGTTCGGGCCAAAGCCGTGCCCCCAAAAGATTCGTCTATTTTTCCACAACTGGCTCAGTCAAAAACCTCCTGACTGTCAAATTCAAGTTCTTCGAGATTTTTAGAATCAGTTTCTCATGCGGACTGGTGATAAAAACGAATCGCGGTGTCTTTCGTGTGGCTGTGTGCTTCACTGTCGAGTGAGATGATGCCTCAGTGATCAAACTCAAGCGACTTCACGAAATGACCATTCTTCGTAGCTGAGCACGGGAATATGAACTCCCCGTATTTCATGTGGCCTTGCGCTAAATCCCAGCGGGAGATAGAGTTAATGTTAGGGTGGGGGTTGAGTTTGGATTCAGGATTAGTTTTATGAGAAGGTAGCGGGGGCGCTCCCCGACCGCTTCTACGGAACTCAATCGTTCCATAGTACTTTACGGGCTCTCTCGGTCCCAACTCGCAGCCGCATAGTGGGGCATGATATGGGCAGGATGTTATTACCAACAGAGGCAAGGGAGACTGGAATGGCCATTTCTGGGTTAGTAGCTGTCGTCAGTCAGTCAGACCCAACCCCGAATTTTAGAACAACTGGGGCTCGGCCCCAAGACATTTTAGTTAGAAGTTCATCGCGTCTAACCACTGAGCCATGAACTCGTTGTCCTTTCGGTTGTGATCGGGAACATACTATGGTAGTAGGGGAGCAGTTACCGATCGTGTTACGGAACTCGCTCGCTCGATTCTGTCTCGGGGCTCTATCTCGTGCACAAACAGCAGCTGTGTTCCACTACTTGTAGTTGGGTGCGGCTGGCTGACGACGGCTAATAAGTCAGAAATGGCCATTCAAATCTCCTTTGTCCTTGTCAGTAAACGAGAGTTTGTTTAGTGTCTGGGTTAGGTCTAGGCGGTTTGGGCTACTTACAAGTTAAGGGTTAAAGATTAGGACTCAGGACTAAGAACTCCCTTGGAGGTTAGCGCGAGGTCAGACCGGGGAAAGGAGTAAAAGTAGGATCTTACGTCATGGGCAAGTACGTCAGAGTCTCACCTCTCACTGAACTTTCCGCCTCAGAAATGACAGGAATTGTCACGACAGCAGTGTACCACGGCATTCGGCAGGCCAGGCTGTTGATAACACAAATCAAATGCCCATTTATTGCAAACCTTAGACTCACCTTATAGGTCACAACTTTTATTCTAGAAAATAATCTGTGGGTAACCATATGACAATTGCGCTTAAGCAAGTGCAACTCCCGATCATCCGTTGCCACTGGCGTTTCGCCCTCCGACTCTCAGGGGACGACATTTTGTTTCGCAGGTTACTTGCAGCCTTCATAATCTCCAAATGAAATTTAGGTTTTTCCTCTTCAGACGCTGGTGCATCTTCACAGAAACAGATAGTTGAGTCATGCGCCGAGCAAGCAGGACGTGACTCACGTCCGCCACATGGCTCCCACTGAATTCACGTGCGCTGATTTCGAGGCACTTCGAGCGACAGGTGCCACATTCGCGATTCAGCGGAACACACACACACACGCACAGAGAAATGCGCCGTCAATCGATTTTCGGACTTTTACAACCCCAGGGACGTAGAATTGGTAAATGAAGCCTCCTATTGAAGACCATCTGTCTGTGTAAATTAATAAATTAGTACAAGGAACTTCGTACGTCTTTTTCCGAGACATTCTAGTCACTAACCCTAAGAAAGAAAGGGAGACTGCCCATAGTTTGCATGTCTTTGTAGTGCTTGCCGAGATATGATTCTAAAAAAACCTATTTTCACAGTTTTAATGAGTGCATGAACTATAGAAGGTCAGTATTGGAAACAGTAGTCTTTTTCAGTTTTGAAACGATGTGCTTCGGGAACATGCTACAGTGTACGCAGGAATGCAAGTAAGCGGATTCTTCACAACATTTCTAATACAGTCTGCGCAGATAAATCAAAGTTTAGAGACTTGAGTTAAGAAATGACGATGAAATGTGTATTTTGAGGAAAGCATACCTCGACAGGGTTACGAGACATGTTTATCCCGCTGATTCTGGGGGTTCAATCAAGACCCTAGTAGGCAGTCGTCCAATGACCGACAGTGATACAAGAGGAGATTGTGATGATCATTGCTGGCTTACGAACCTAGCGGTCGTCAGCCCACCACGACCAACCGCAGGCTATAATAACGTAGGATTTGAAACGGAAATATTTTAGAACCAGAAACCGTGGATTAAAAAGCCTTCTCCCGTTGCTACGACTCCCGGTGAGCTGCAATTTTGCCACCTCGGTGCACTGTTGCGCCCGGCAAGGCCATACTTTTCTACCTACTGTTCTAAAGATATCTAACAAAGCATTCCAGTAGAAGCGAAGAGACGAGTCCCAGGAAGCAGTCTTGAAGAAGAAGACACGATCGCCGGGACAAGAGCTTTATGAGCCTGACGTCTCGGATTCCTGCTCGAATCCATCATCAGAGACATAAGCAGATAAGGGTGGCTCATGCACATGCGGCTGTAGTATTTATAGCATGCAGTAGCCATGCTACCGCATACCATTGATGAAACCAAAAGACCCACTGTCACGGCAAGAAACGTCTGGAGTCGTTTATCGGATCTGATGCAGTTGCGGACAAAGCAACTACGTCGGAGAAACCGGAATACAGCTCCGAACGCGAATGGCCGAACACGCTGCAGCAGTGCGGAGAAATGACGCCAGCCCTCAAGTTGCGGCTCATTCGAGGGGTTCCGGCCACACATTCAAATTTGACGAGGCCGAAATTCTCGCAAGAGGTGACAACCGCGTGAGCCGGGAGCTGCTTGAGTCATGGTTCACTGGCCCCCAGTCTATTAACAAGTGCAATGATCTTCCCATTCAATACCTCGTGCTGAGACTTCGTCTAGGCGGAGTAATTGGCCACACGGGGATCGCACTGGTGAACACGCTTCCCAACACCCGGGTCAACGCGTCAGATGGTCGAGCAATCATCACACCAACATCCAACGCACGTGATGAAATTGCAGCAATTAACGACGCGAATATCGGCCATCACGCCACGGGCAACGAACCGTGATGAAGGAGAGGAAGCCGCAAATATTCATAGGTGTGCGGTAGCATGGCTACTGCATCCTATAAATACTGCAGCCGCATTTGCATGAGCCACCCTTATCTGCTTATGTCTCTGATGATGGATTCGAGCAGGAATCCGAAACGTCAGGTTAATAAAGCTCTTGTCCCGGCGATCGTGTCGCAGAATGTGGGGGGGGACAAATTACCACCAAGGATGCTGGGGTGGATCGTGCAGTAAGTGAGCTCCTAGTGACAGTTCGACTGCTGATTTCGACGATGTCCACCGCTTGTTACACAGCAGAGGGTGAACAGGCACGGCGACTTGCGCGGGAACGAGTTTATAGTGATAGTAGACCTGCACAGCATCTACCATGCCGTCTCCTCCTCGCCTACCCGATCGGTATCATGACCGGAAGTAGGAGAGGGCGCAGATGGCTGGCGCTGCCGAAGTTGCTACTAGACATGCTGTCACGCCAAGCTAGGATCCCACTAGGTGGGTTTGCCATAGAGGAAACATTGCAGTCTGGCTGTCAGCCTACCAGTACACCAATCCACTCAAGCACACATTGGGTTTACTGCGAGGGCCCAGTTATCCCGCCAGTTGGTCACCTTCAAAGCCACGGCTTCTAACTCACCGTGATAGTTTCATGCGTGACAGATTGTTTTTAGTGAAGAAGGTGCGCTGAGACGTCGACCTCACGCTATCTTCTCAGTCCCACCTAACAGGAAACTATCCGAGCCAATCAGATTTCTAAAGCTGGAATCGAGCTCAGTGGCTGACAGAGTTAGAGGGCTCGTCTGCGCGCGCTGCGTGCACGACCTTGTCCCCAAACCTACACTCCGGCATTTTAAACGCAAGGACATTGGAAAGTTTGGATTTCACATACAGCAAAGGGACCACATGGAGAAAGGAACCGAAAAACACACTTCCCAGTTAAGTGAGAAGTGCCGGTGATAGGTGGTGTGGGAGGAATGTATACGTGGTGCATGAGTTGGTGGTGTCTGCAGTGACTTACCGCAGGTCTTCATGGAGACACATATGATCGACTAGGACCTTTTGCGGAATCAATGCGTGTAGACAGTATGGGCAGTGGAGTCGGGTACGGTATGTGTATGTTAGAGCTCCTATAAAATGTTCACCAGGCCATGTGCGATGGATCTACAATGGCCTATGCGTGATGTACGTATGCTCTGACAGTGAAAACAGGATAAGGTCGGCGCTTCAGAATCGGTTGGAGTGGTAAAGCTATAAGCCGTTGTCGTGCTAGACGATGGTAAATTGTTAGTTATGGGTATGGGAACGTTGTCAAAATGCAGGATGTCCTGGAAGTGTTGATGTTGCGATGTGTTCCATTTTCATGTTCGTGTGACCGAATACGCCCATGCGGAGAGTGGATGTGTATATGCGGTGAGAGCGGTGAAGGTGGGTGCTGGGAGGGTGTGCTGGGACGCCGGGCATCGACCACAGTGTGATGGGATCGCAAGCGGCCGAACAGGCTGTTGCATGGGAAACATGTGAGATTACAATATGGACAAGTTGTGATCAAGTCTGTATTGCTGGTGGGAGGACGTTGGTTATGAAAGGGTTGTAGCTGACGGGACATCTGATGCTGTTTCATTGACGGTGGGAGTGGGAGAAAGGGCGATGTTGGTAGAGCTGGTGGTAGTTAGCGATGCAGGGGTTGGAGTGAGGATGACGGTGCCGGTTTTCCATGGCCATGAGGCATCCGCATTTTAGTCACCCCTGATGGAGGCGGTCGTCGTAGTTGTCCTCTTGGAGTGGAAGGCGGGGGTGGCAGTAGTGCTTTCTGTGAAAGAAGTTGGCGTTGACGGGTGTCTGAAGAAGCCACTTCGCGCTCAGAGTGTGTGCGTTGCTGGCGTGGGCATACTGAAAACTGTTGAGTACTGGCGGTGTGAATCCGAAGGCGCTTAGGACTTGCGAGCCGTCATTTTGGTTTTATTGGCGGAGACCCAATTTGCTTCGCAGAATGCTGCGCCCGTCTTGATTGCTCTTCTCCAGGACTGTCTACCCTGAGTGAGGTTCTTTCAGGTCTCCGTGTTCATAGTAAGGATGAATTCTATGGCATTAACCGCACTCATTTCCATCTCTCGCCCACCTTATTCAAGTGAGGGGAAAAAGTCATAATGATTAAAAGTGGACGTAGATACACCGGCTTATTTGACCGAATTCACGTTTACGCGTACCACGGACATGCTGGCCACTGCTGGCATGAAGCAGTTATAAGTCTCAGAACTGCTATATCAAGAAAAAACCATTGCATCTTGGCAATAGACCTATAGAAAGACTTAAAAGGTTGTCGAACTGGAGGTAGCAAAGTACAGAACCTTAGAAGAAACAACTCCATCAACCAGAAGCGCGATTATTAAATTTTGGCGTGCGTAGTTAAGTTCAATGCAACGAAAACAGGTCTGAGCTTGCATCCTGCTTCTCAAATGTTTTCTGTCAAGGACGCCTCAACGAGCTCTTCTTCCACAAGAGTTTATTGGTCATGCAGTTACATTGGAAGAGCGCGCAGCCGGCTTGCTGGTCAGTTATGCGGCCCGAACGACTAGACAAAAGGGTGTGGTTACATAAGGAGTCGGCATAAATTAGTGCATTAGCGGAGCGTTCTAAGGCAGTTTCTGTTCCACTACTCGAAGTGGGTGACGTCGTCAATTAAGTGCGCAAACGCTTGCGAAAAAAACACCAATCACCGCGAATTCGGCGCAGGTACACCGTCCAAAACTCCCAGTTAACAAGGGTTGCCATTAAATGGAATGACAACATAAAGAAAGTAACAGCAATAATATTTCGTTGGCTAGAGGCAGAAAATTTAGACAAAGCGCAAAATCCTGTAAAATGAGTAAACTCGAGTTCTACAAGTACATAAAATCTGGGCATGCAGATGAGTGAGTAAATAAAGTAAAATGGGTAAAATCACGTTTAAAAGTAGCATGTCAGTGCGGTTCGCATCTTCAAACAGCAGGAAGTCGAAAGAGTTTGCACCTGCAGTTGCGGAACGATTTCATTCGGTTAAAAAATCGACCAAATACTACCTTTTGACAAACTACAACATTCCCCAATAATGGCAAGGAATTATGGCTATCTGTGGATTTGGAATAGACTGGCCATGTACATGTAGTGGGCTACCTCATGAAATATTAATCGAAATTCCGAAATTATTTTTCGTTTCAAAAAAGATTAGTTAAGTAGGGTTGTTTAACTAATCATCATGCAGTACAATTCTATAGTTATTCAGTTACTTCAGGATACCGGCTTCCGAACAAACTTCTTTTTGGCTACATGAAAAAACCACACTCTGTAAAAAATGTCTGCTTATATAGCAGGCATTTCTCTCACTGATTTTTGATGCCCCTAAAAATTCAATTATATTTCATGGAAAACACGCATACAAATATTCATTCTTTTGCTCATTCAGCATAAAATGACGTCCGCTTCCTGTTTTTTACTCAAAACAAGGACAGAATTCGGTTTTTAAGAACTATTTCAATTCCCAAATAATTTGAAACACGACGTGCCGTTGCATTTGCATTCAGGGTTTACAACTAGAAGTTGCATATTTTCCGCGTACGGAAAACTATACAGTTCTCTACGGTATTAGGAAGAAATCATATGAAGTTCATAAAAGTTAGAAGTGGAAATGAACCATATTGTTAATATTACGAGCCACATTGGTAAATTTAGATACATAGCGTTTTCTAATCAGCCATTACGCGGTATTAAAAAGTCTCACAATTAGAAATTTTTTGAAACCGAGTTATACCCTTCCTTTGAGTATAAGATTGGAAGCGGACGTCATTTTCTACCGAGTGAGCAAAATAATGAATATTTCTATGCATGTTTTCCATGAACTATAATTGAATTTTTGAGGGCATCGAAAATCAATGAGAAAAATGCATGCTATTTAAACAGTTGTTTTTACAGAGCGTGGGTTTTGCATGCAGTCGGAAAGAAGGTCGCTGGAAAGCAGGTACCCTGAAGTAACTCAAATATTATAGAATTATACTGCAGGATGATTAGTCTTACAGCACTACTTGATTAATCTTTTCGAAAGGAAAACGTATTTCGGGATTTCGATTAACATTTCATGATTTAGTCCACCTACTCTATTTATAGCATCAAGGACAGCTGTTTAATAAAGTTTACAATTTTGGCCTCAGAAGGAAAGGGTAGCTACCTCACTGTCATTTTAAGTAACAAGACAAAAATAGCTTTTCTTGAACTGAAATGTTTAAGCGACTGAGTACATGGTCAGAGACCTTATTAAACATGAGTGAAGAGTAAAGTGGTATAAATTTAAGCTCCCTGCATTTCTAAAGACAGCGAATATGTCATTCAAAATTGAGTCCCGCTTTCCAGTATCGCATCTTGCTGTCTTGGCAACCACAAAACAAACTGTTCGAGTAGCCCCAATGCTTTCTCGCTTAGAAAAATGGGCGTTATTCATGGAGGATAATATATTTTTTCCGAAAAAAAACATACGACCGTCATGTGTATTTGGCAAGTGACATTCAGAAAATACAGCTGGCGTATTGCCCTTAAAGTTATCTTTCTTTTCGAAGGCTGGAAAACTAAATTGGCTTGACGGTGGATGAATCGATGACGTCATTGCGTGACCTTGAAGCCTACCGCAGTTGGTCCAGTGAATTTTTTGATTATACTAAATATATTATTGGAAGACCCACACACAAAATTCGACTGACGGGTATGACGATGTCCATCGAATGCCGTACCATGTGGTGGCACAGGACACTGGTTTGCGCTTTTATGGAGACTGGGGTCTTGCGCAGCATCCGGCGCCGTCTCTCTTTCCACAGCAAGCAAAACTCAGTGCCAAGACAGATTCAGGAAGACCAGACGCGCATCCAGACGCAGCCACATCCCATCCACGAGTGCCACATAGGAGCTGTTCCGCCCAGGATGATCCAGGCTTTTACAAACAAATAACGGTTAGGTGGCTCGGATCCTATCTAAGCGGGAATGCCACAGAAGCCATATTACAACGCCGCCCTTGCAGTCTGACTCTCTGTCCAAGGAAAACTGAGTTATCTAGTCAGTTGGTAGACTTCCAAGCGACGACTTGTAGTTCGTCCTGATCGCTTCTAAACGCATAAGCCTAATTATCATGAGGATTGTGGACTGAGGTGCTGTGGGAGTAGATTCCTCAGCGTCTAAATCTCTCTCGCACACTCTGCCATCTCAAGTGCGCCAATCCACTGTCCGAACCGGTCGACCACCTGATGCTGGGATTAGGCGCGAGCGGTTGACACGGCATTGGTCTGCGTCTAGACGTGACATCACACCTCGTCATGGGATGCGCGGATTCTGCGTGGCCCAGCTGACGCATGCTGTATTGGTCACCGTGTTCACCCAGTGCGTCTCCCGCGTAACCCACTTTAGAGGCACATCAGTTAAAAATACGTCCCTCACGTAATGCAAATAGTTTGTATTCCACACTAACTTACCCCAAATGTTGTTTCCCCAGTTTTGCAGGCATAGTACTGATCGCATGTCCTGTGTTCTTTACTTAACAAAGCTATATCCGTTAAGCAGTATCCCCTCGTGATGCTCGGCCTTAGCTTATGGACAGCAGACGTGCAAATCACCGGACCCACCTGCCTCATACTTTTACAAACCCTCGATCTCTACTCCTGAACAGATAGATTTTGTTCCTAAAGTGTTGTTCACGTGCACATACGCACCAACTTAAGACGCAGTTACTGCTGCACACGTTTAGGGCACACTAACTTGGTGCACTTTCTTGCAGCATCTAGGATCCTAACGTGGACCGCGACAGCTGCACAGCCAGGGTATATAAAGACGTCTTCAACTACCAATCACATCGTTCCTCCGTCGTCAGCGCGCCCACGCGATCCATGATCCAAACAAAAGTGTGTTTTCCCTTCAAAATTGTCAAGGTCGGCTGATACTGCAGATGAAGTGTCAACCGCACAGGTCCAATCGATATGGAGCGAAAGGGGAAAGAAAGAGAAATCGGGATTCTCCAATCCCACATCACAAGCAGTAGTGGGTCATGGTGGCTCATGGAGCTTCATTCGTTATCTGTACAGCCTTCTGCATGACATCTAACGCCTGCTGTTGAACTACGTAGATGAAAGGGAGGGAATAAAATGGGATAGGCAGGTCCCACAGTACATAAAACAAATATGTTTCTTAAATTTTTCTCATGGTTAAACAGCCAAGCGGCCGGGGAAACAGCTGAAGGAGCCGGTTTGATTGATCCTCGGGCTTGGAATTGGTGACAGCAAATGCCCGAGCCGGAGCGATCACTTGCCTGTCGCCGAGCAACCTCGCACACTTCTTCGGGTCACCGATTAGGCATCAGCTGACAAAATGGCATAAGTTCTGTTGACTGGCTTCCCGTCTTGCCAGTCACTTAACAAGTTGCATGTGACCAAAGAGGAAAAACCAGTTAATGGAAATCATCTTGTTGGATCGAGGCTGCGCCCTCATGTATACAGTAATGACGCTACGAAGTATTGCAAGCTAACTGTGAAACTTAGGAATCTGAAAGTTTTCTGACTTATATTAAATATCCCTGCTGATGATGGATTCAAAATTCCCAATCTGGTCTGATGCGTTTTTTCTGGGTAAGATGCGGTGGGCTTCAGACAAGCGGTAGTGGAGGAGTTCAAAATGATTACATTTAGTTCATAGTATAAAGCACGCAAAGAATATCGAGATTGCCGACAAAAGCGACCAGGCGAAGTCCAGGATGCAATTCAGAAGAAGGGGAAGGAGAAGAAGAAGAAGAAGAAGGAGAAGAAGAAGAAGGAGGAGAAGAAGAAGAAGAAGAAGAAGAAGAAAAAGAAGAAGAAGAAGAAGAAGAAGAAGAAGAAGAAGAAGAAGAAGAAGAAGCGATGAATGGGACACGCCGTTTATTGGCCTGGAGTTTCGAATCTTCACTCAAACCCATCATTAGAGGCGAGTGCAGATAAAGGTATTAGAGGCACAAAGACTGCAGTATTTATAGTACGTAGCTGTCGTGGGGCTACGTGTGTACTATAATTAGCAGCATTCCTGATCACCTCTGCTGGTCATAATTAAGGTGATGATGGCTCGCCAATCCGCGTCCTAGTCGTTAACTGCCGGAATCTCATCATCCGCCTTGGATGTTATCGTGATAATTATTCCGCAATTCCTCCCGCTGTCACCAGGACAGTTGAGCGCCCGCGCCCTCCTCACGTGACTCACTACCCTGTTCAGGGAATGTCTCACCACCGAATGAGGTACCGGGAGACCATTGCACTTTTTTCGGGCCGTAATAAATGCGATGATGGCTCATCAGTTCGTGTTCCAGTCGTTAATTTCCGCACTTTCATCATCCGCGTTGGATGGAGCCACTGTGATTATTATTAGGCAGTTTGGCCCCCTGTCACCGGGATAGTTGAACGTCCACACCCCCGTCCTCCCCACTTGAGTGATTCCCCTTCTCAGGGAGTGTCTCAGCACTGAATACGGTACCGGGAGGTCATTGTGCTTGTTGACGGATTGCGGGGCTGAGAACCACGACTCCAGCAGCTCGTGGCCCATGAGGTTGTCAGCTCTTGCGAAGATTTCAGCCTCTTGGAACTTGAAAATATGGCGGGTGCTGTGGAATAAGCTGCCACTTGAGAGATGACGTTTCTCCTTCTCACCGCTGCTGCATGCTAAGCCATGAGCGTCTGGAGCAACCCCCAGTCGATATATTAACAGCTTTTCTGGACTCGCATGGGAAACATGTGAAAAGACACCGAATACAATTCGGGCACAAATTGCCGACTGCCTTAAGTTCTCGGTCGGTATAGCCTGATCAACAATCCCGGTGAAAACGAGCCTAATTGCCGAATAATCATCATGTCAACATCTAGCACGGATGAAGAGATCGCGCAATTAACGACTCGAACTCGGACTCGGACTGACTAGCAGTCATCGCATCAATTACTACCCCCAGCGGTGATCATTATAGCTATTAATTGTAGTACGCATGTGGTCCCACGGCGGATACATACTATAAATGCTTCAGTCTTTGTGCCTCCACTACCCTTATTAGCGACCGTCTCGAGTGAAAATCCGAAACTTCGGGCCAATAAACTTCTTGTTACAGTGATCGCATCTTCTTTCCTTTCTGAACTTCTTCCTGTAATGTCTGTTCGCTTCTATCGGCGACGTTGCTGGCCATTAGGATAAGAGGGAAGTCGTCTGCAGGATCGCCTGTGACGTTTACATCGCAATATACCATAGCCAAACTGGGAACTCCAAAGGAGCACGCATTAATAAACATTAACAGGGAGTAAAGAGGCGAGGTCACCCGTCTCAAGTGGCCGTGCACACGCTAGATAACGGACAGACTTTCCACGGGCACGAAACGCGCACTGTAGGAGTCCGCCCCATGCACAAAAGACTGAGAATTTATCGAGGCCTTGCATTCAGATGAGTCATTCATCAACAGGAATGTTGGGTTGAATGTCGTGTGCAAGCATCTCAGGGAGAAATGGAAAAGATGGGGGCCAAGCTGAGCATGACGATATGTACGGCGGACGTTTACAGGCGTGAATACAGAACGAGTATTAATTACCTTCGATACGTTTACAGCGCTAACTGCTTTGCACATTTGCTCTACATTTGACGATGACAACGACAGGCGTCGAAAATTTGCCAAATAAAATTTCTCAATTTTTTAGATGGACATGTCTGAGTTTAACTTACAGTTCGTAGGGTGCCTCAATGCAAACAAACTGACCCCTGCAGTTGAAGTGAAAGGATAAGGCAATGCGACATTCGAGGAAGACTGTTTGTTCAGTTTACTTTGCTGCTTGCCATTTTGTGCATAGTCAAGGATAGACGCTGATCAGTCTAGCCTAGTTTTTGGTCATACACGCCAGTGAGTATTCGTGCTCACACACACTTGGCATCACAGGAAACGTGAACTAATGGTAAAGTTCGATTGGGACATTTGCGTGCCTTGGAAGAATGGGATCATGAGGTGACACTTTACCGAATAGTCAAACCTTGTAAGGCTGGACAACAATCACTCTGTAGTCCACTAGATACTGTGTTGAACGCAGCTCTCACATGATATTTGAGTGTAAAGGCGGGCAGTAATTTGTGCTTCAACGGAGAAGAGCAATCCACCTACCGCAAACTTTTATGTGAGCTTCCTACCTCTAAATATTTCACTCCTTTTTCACATAATTTAATTACAACAATCGGTGAGCTCCCGTCTACCATTGTATATTCCCAATCGAAGCCGACAGGACAGAGAGCCCGTGGATTAGGGGTCATTGGACTTCCAATCAGTAGGTCGCGGGATCGTGCCCCAGGTGTCCCACACCTCGGAGCTGGGTATGACTGGCTGAGGACGGCTAATGTGCCAGAAATGAGCATTCCAATCTCCCTTGTCCTTGTCGACATTGCCCCTCCGCCTAAGATCACAACATCGTTGCTACTATAGTAATGTCAGTAGATACTGTTTGGTAAGTGCAGCGCTAATAGTCGCCTTGTAATGTGACCACAACCAATGGAACACAAAGGTTTGAAAATTACGCTCAATACGATAAGGGATGCTAGAGTATATAAGGCTAAACATTTTAAAACTCATATCGGTAATGAAAAGAGAAATTTTTCACTCAAATCCGTAAGAGTTGCCACTCGCTCACTCAATTATACTCCGCGTGCCTCCGCGTGTAGAAATTCATGATTGGATCCGTTCTCCACCAAGAACAGTTGTCCCGATACCATTCTGGGCGGACTGTTACAGCAAATCAGGCGCCTTAGTTCTTTCCCATTTTAGAAAAGAGAACAGACTTCACGTCTTTTGCGTCCACATTTCCGAGACTCATTCAGGTGACCATGATTCATTTCGCTAGATATGGCCGAAAAATACCGCCGGGGTTGAGGATGTGTACCTTCAGACTTCAACTAAAAAATAGTATATCCCACAGCATCAGGCTACCAAAAGGTAGAATAGAAAATGGAGTTTACCAAAGAGTAATCTCAGTCATCCAGGACGGAAAGCGAGCATTATTTCTTTGTAGCAACGACATTGACTTGGTTCCAGCGCACTTCCTGCCTAGCCTTTCTGTTGCCGCGACTGCGCGACCATTTACTACGACGTTATGCACAAAGGAACATTGACGTGAAAGCAGAAGGAGAATTGGACGGGGAAGCGGGAACACGATCACTCATGCGTTTCAACCCTGAGGCTTGAATACAGCCACAAACTTCTCCAGAGAAGTGTATGTATGATTTGACTAGCCGATAGTAAAATATACTCGAAGATAGTAAAGGGCTGGGGATCGAAAGCCGCAAATTAAATTGGCTGCCAAGTTGATCTTCTTTGGCATCGTAAACCGTTTGCCAACATCAAAGCCAGAGTGAAAGATTAATATGGGACATTCAGAAAAGGTATTTATGAAATCATTACGAACTCTTGGTAGTTAATTCCTGTTCCATGTTTGATTATAAGGATATTTCTTCATGAGACAGTTTTAAAACGCTCTTTTAAGAAGGCTAAATAAAATCTTTATCACATGGAATGCATTGAGGTGATGATTGAATCGTATATTAAGCCCACTACAGGCGTTCAATGACAAATGCATAATCTCGGTATTTCAGAAGAAGAAGAAGAAGAAGAAGAAGAAGAAGAAGCAGCAGCCGAAGCGTCCACCGGGGCAAGAAATTTATTGGCCTGACGTTTCGGATTCTCACTCGAACTCATCATCAGATGCGGCTGCTTCTAAAGGTAGCAGAGGCGCAAAGACTGCAGTATTTATAGTGCGTAGCTGCGTGAGGCCGCATGCGTACTATAATTAGCAGATCTCCTGATCACCGCTGGGGTCCGTAATAAATGCGATGATGGCTCATCAGTTCGCGTTCCAGTCGTGAATTTCTGCACTTTCATCATCCGCGTTGGATGAAGCCACCCTGATGATTATTTGACATTTGGGCCTGCTGCCACCGAGATAGTTGTACGTCCGCACCCCCGTCCTCCCCACCTGACTGATTCCCCTTCTCAGGGAACGTCTCAGCACTGAATATGGTACGAGGAGTTCATTGTGCTTTTGATGGTTTGCCGGCCTGATAACCATGACTCGACCAGCTTGCGGCTCGTGAGGTTGTCAGCTCTTGCGAAGATTTTGCTCTCTTCAAACTTAAAAATATGGCCGGGTTTCGTAATTTGCGCTGTCACCTGAGAGCTGGTGTCTTTTCTCTTCACCTATACTGCGTGCACCGCCACGTCCGTCTAGAATAATCTCCCAGCTTCACCGACATAGTTGCTCTGTCTGCAACTGCACCAGATCCGGTAAAAGACTACAGACGTTTCCTGTCGTGTCAGCGGGTCTTTTGCCTCATGACTTGGCGCCTAATGGTTGCTTCCGGCCTGTGTGCAACCCCAACTCCAAGTAGAGTGAGAAGGCTGCTGACGGCTTCCGAGACGTTCTTTACGTACGGAAGCGCTCGCCAAACTTCAATACCAGTTTGATTTGTTTTCTGATTTCGTCTGCGTGCTTTTAGGTTGACAAAGTTGTACGGGCGGCCACTGGCTCTCAGTACCCGTCAAAGGTATTGCAATTCAGCAACCTTGCCTTCCGTTTCACTGCAGAGCGTCTCAATTCGCCGGTGTAGAGACCTTACGCAACTGCTTTTGTGACCGAACGGCTGGTAACCGTTAAAATTCAGTACTTGCGTTGTGCTTGCTGATTACCTAGACACTTTGGTTTTTAGACCAGCACAATCGTTGCGATAAATGAGGACATTCAGAAAGACCAGCTGGTTGTTCTCTTTCTTCTCATTCGTAAATTAAATGTCCGCGAAGACGGCGTTGAGACGTCTTTTGAATGTATGCACCTGATCCCGTTCGACGACAACGATGACGAAGAAAT